CACCACATGTTCCAACAGTTTCGCCACAGTTCCTTGTTCGAACGTTCACGCGAGCCTGAAAGAACTGTTCTCCATCGGACAAGCCTGTGTGCTACTACATACGAATCCATTTTCCCTCTCTGATTAAATACTCTGTTCCCCAATCTGTGAACATCGTCGTTTCACACATCTCTACAACCGTGTTTGAGTATTCGAGTCCATTGAATATAGGTGTCGAATCTCGTCGTTCGAAATGCGGCGCAAACTAGAAGCGCGTTTATTGCATAAGTTTTTATTTAAGTTGCACTTGAATTTTCTAGATATTCTCCTATATGCTCTGACAATGAGTGTCTTAGTTCAGTCTCTTTGGCACTGCCTACTTTTTTTTTTGCATTTCAATCAATCCCGGTCATCGAAAAGATGGACTGCTCGCGTGTGTTATTTATCGTTGCGTAGATTCTATCTGGATGATCGAGGGATATTTTATAATTTTGATTGATGATATTTTGCACACGCGTTGATTGTCACAGCGATTTAACGAAGATATGTAGAAATTTAACGAGGAAAACAAAAGTAATTGAATTACTAATTTTTGGATTCGTAGTATTTTATTATTGATTTTTCTTCTTTTTCGCTGAAGATTGTTATTTGGAAAAGTAAATGCTTTAGAAATTAAGTATGCGTAGATATTTCATAGTGTTACGATTTTGCTAAGTGTAACGATAGGTAATTGACAATCAACGCATGAATGTGATACAAAATGAAAAAGTTGAATTTTTTACTGAACCATCGTACACCGAAGTGGATATGTATGGCACAGTATGACAATGTTTGAAACAAACGCCTGGAGACTTCTTTCTCTCTTTATTTCCGTGATTTTCTTTTATGTTTTTCATTCTCACGTGTTATACAAATACCTGTTGATTCTTATAATTTCATTCTCTCTGTTTCTCCGTAATTTGTCGGCTTTTGCTACAAGAAGCGGTAAAGTGTAAAAATGATATGAGAGTAAAAAAAGGAAACGCCATGAATTAATATTTCACAATTTTTATTATATTTTTTTTCTTTTCGTAAATGCAAGGGAGAAAAAAAGTGAGCAAAAAAAAAAATTGCCTATC